CCGGGCACGGGAAACACAATGAAGCAAGGCGAAGCCAAGAGGGAACAAGGAGGCAGCAGAAACGGAACGGGAACACCCAGTAGGGGAAGGACATGGGGAAAGCGTGAGAGAAGAGAAGGGAAGAGCGCAGGACAGCCCAAAGGAGAGCAGAAGGGGACGGGGGGCGAGGCCACACCGGGGCGAGAGAACCCAGGGGCACAGGCGGGCGAACGAAGAGCCAGGGAAACACAAGGCAGAAGAGGGCACGCAGGCCGAAAGGGAAACGACGCGACGGCGACGCGCCAGGGCGAGCGCGCGCCAGGGCGCGAGGCCGCGGGGCCGGAAAGCCAAAGAGAGCGGGGCAGCGAGAGAGGCGGGGAACCCACGCCAACGCGGGGAAAGACAAGACAGAGAGAGAGAGAGAGAGAGAGACGAAAACCAGGGGAGCAGGAAGAGAGAGCCGACGAACGCGAGCGGGAAAACCGGGAAGGACGCGACAGAGAAGGCCAGACACAAGCAACAGGGAGAACGAGCAGAGGCAGGGCACAACAGAGAAGGCAGAGAAGGCAAAGCAGAAACAAGGAGCAGAACCCAACAGGAACAAGCCCCAAGAGAAAGCCCAGAGGCACAGCCCCCAAGACACGCGGAAGCACAACGCGGCCAGAGCACAACACAGAACACACGGGGGGGCGCCACAGGACCAAGCGCAGGCCCAGACAGGAGGGGCAGCGCAGAGAGCGCGGACACGGCCCCGCAGCACCCGGCCCCGGAGCGCAACACGGAGGGGGCGAGCGCAACCGACCGAGGAACCGCAGCGCAGCAGAGGGGGGAGCGCAACCAAACAGGGGACCGCAGCCCAAGAGAAGGGCAGCGGACCGCAGCCAGGAAAAAGGACGAACCGCAGCGCGGAGAGAAACGGGGGAGCGCAACCAAACGGGGGACCGCAGCCCAAGAGGAGCAAGCGGACCGCAGCCAGCGGCGGAACCGCAGCGCAGGAGAACCAAGCCGAGCGCAACCGAAGGGGGGGAACACACACAGAACACAGAGCAAGCACAGGCAACCCACAGGACACAGGAGGAAGGGGGAGAAAACGGAGAACAAAACCGAGGCGGGAGCCAGCACAGACGAAGAAGAGGCCGAAGGGGGGCAGACGGCGGCCACCGAGGGCAACGGGAGACCAAGGCAACGAGCAGGCAAGAGAAGAGACGCAGAAACCGACGAACGGGACCCGAAACAGCAAACGAGACAGAGGCACGAGAAACGGAGGCCGGGGGGACACCACGGGGAACGGGGAACAGCAAACGGGGAAGCCGGGAGCCCGAGGGGGGAAGGGCCAGCGGGGAGCCGGGGGGGGGGGGCCACCCGCCGGCGGCCCGCCGGACGACGGGCCGGGCAGCGGGGCGCCGGCGGGCAGCGGCCCGCCCGCCGGCGACCCGCGGCCGGGCGGGGGGCCGGCCGGGGGAGGGGGCGGGGCCCCGACCCCCACCGACCCCCCACGGACGCGGGCACACAGGGACGCCCCGGGAACCGGGGGGAACCCGAAACCAGGCGGAGACACGGGACAACGCAAGGAACGACAACACGGAGACAAGGAACGGAAGCAAAGACGAGAAACGAACGGCACAGAACCGAGCAGGCGGGGCGAAAGAGAAGCAACACCCAAACAGGCGAGGGCCCCACCCGAGAAGCCAAGAAGAAGAGCAGACGAGACAACCGAGGGGGCGAAGCACGGGGAGAGCAACAAGAAGACGGGGCGGCGGCGAAGGGCAAGAGGCGGGAAGAAGAACACAGAAACAGCAAGAGCAGCACACAAGGAGCAAGAACAACACAGAAGCAGCAAGAACGCCAGAGAAGCAGCAAGAACACCAGAAGGAGCAAGAAGCGCCCAAGAGCAAGAGGAGCAAGAGCCCCAGGGGAGCAGCACAGCAAGCAGCAAGAAGAAGCAGCAGAAGCGCGCAAGACACAAGAAGAGGGGGAAACCCGAAGGGGGAAGCAGAAGCGAGGAAAAGAGGGGGGGGGAGACAGGGGGACCGCGGAGCCGGAAGGAAGGCCGGGGCGAGGAAGGAGCGGGCGGGAAGCGGCCGGGCGGGCGGGAGGGCGCCGAAGGGGAGGCGGGGAGCGCGGGGGGGGGGGGGGCGGGAGGGGGGGGGAAGGGCGAGGGGCCGCCGAAGGCCCGAGGGAGAGAGGAGGAGGCCGAAGGAGGAACGAAGAGGAGAGGCGGCGAAGGCGAGGCCGGGGGAACGAAGGAGGGGGGGAGGGGGGGGGGGAGAGAGGAGGGCCCAGGGACGAGGGGGGGCCGGGGCCCGAAGGAAGCAGGAGAAGGGAGGCGGGCGCGGGGGCGAGGAGGAAGGAAGGAAAGGGGGGGAGGGGCCGGAACACGGGGGGGGACACGCGCCCCCCCGGACAAGGGGCGGCGGCCCCGAAGCCCGGGGGGAGAGGCCAGCCGGGCACCCCGAGACACCGCGGAGCGCGGCCGCCGGAGGAGGGGGGCGGCCGGACGGGGGCGGGGCGGGGGGGAGGCGGAACGGGGGAGGGGGGGGGAGAGAGAAGGGGCGGGGGACCGCGGGGCCGGCGCGGGAACGGGAGGCACCGCGAGGGCCCAAGGCGGCCGCGAGCGCGGCGACCCGGGGAGCGAGGGCGCGGGGGGGGCGAAGCAAGGAGGAGAACCCGGCGGCCAGGAGGGGAGGCGGCGGGCGAGCGGGGCGAGGAGGCGGGCGGGGACCGAACCCGCGGCGGGCCCCGCGGGGGCCCGCCGGGCGGGGGGGGCACGGACGGGGGAGGCCCGGCGGCCGCCGCGGGGCCCGCAGGGCCCGCCGGACCCCCGCCAAGCGGGCAGGCCCGCGCGGAGCGGGGGGGGAGAGGGCCAACCGAGCAACCAAGGCCCGACGGGCCGCCGCGGGGGGAGGCGGCGGTTTTTTTTTT